ACAAGATTACGGTGAAGAACAGATACCCTCTACCACGAATTGAGGATCTGTTCGATCGGCTCCAAGGAGCTCAGTGGTTCAGTGCGCTGGACTTAGCACTGGTGGCACAAGAAAGAAATTGTTGTCCCACATGTGGGAAACCTGCGGAATGATATTCTAGCAGAGGTGCACGCCACTAAGTATGGAGGACACCTGGGTGTCAAGAAAACCAGGTGGGTCCTCAGTGATGTATACTGGTGGCCGGGATTGGGCATTGAGGTCCAGCAGTTTGTAACTCGCTGTGACACGTGTGCACGGAACAAGTCGAGCACACAGAAGCCTGGTGGTTTGCTTCAACCACTTGAGATTCCCGATGAACCTTGGGAGAGTGTATCGATGGATTTTATCACCGATCTCCCCAAGACGAGAGATGGTCATACGTCGATTCTGGTGTTTGTTGACCGCCTGACCAAAATGGTGCACTTCGTGCCCACGACGACTGACGTGTCTGCGGAGGATACGGCAAAGTTGTTTGTGACGCACGTTTTCCGCTTACACGGTTTGCCTCGTGTGATGGTGTCTGACCGAGACCCGCGCTTCACAAGCCGGTTCTGGCAAGAGGTCATTAAGACACTTGGAACGAAACTCAAGATGTCGTCTGCTTTCCACCCACAAACGGATGGACAGACAGAGCGGACCAACCGCACCCTTGAGCAAATGCTTCGTTCTTTCATAAGCCCAACTCAGGACGATTGGGATGAATTGTTGCCAGTCGTGGAATTCGCTGTGAACAACTCTGTGCATGAAAGCACCCGTGAGAAACCCTTTGTCCTGAACTTTGGTCGGCACCCCACAACCCCTGCGACGCATGGGATTAAGAACCTCAAAATCCCTGCCGCAAAGGACTTTATTGGAAAACAGCAAGCGGCATTGAAGTCCGCTCGCCATTGGCTGCAGCTTGCCCAACAGAGGCAAAAGTCCTATGCCGACATGAAACGCCGGGAAGTCGCCTTTGCAGTTGGCGACAAAGTTTTATTGAGTACGAAGAACATTCGTCTCAAGATCTCGGGAGCACGAAAGCTCTTCCCTCGTTGGATTGGGCCCTTCGAGGTGATTGCGCGTATTGGTGAGGTCGCTTATAGGCTCAAGTTGCCCGCGACATTGCAGATTCACAACGTCTTCCACGTGTCTCTGTTGAACAAGTACGTTGCAGAAGGCAAGTACTTACCACCACCAACCATCGTTGAAGTCGAGCGTGTGCTAACGCACCGTGATCGACAACGCGGCCGCAAAACAGTTCGTGAGTTCCTAATTCAGTGGAAAGGCTATGGGCCGGAACACAACTCATGGGAGCCTGAAGAACACTTGACCGAAGCAGCGGTTCAAGCGTATATGGAAGACCTGGCTCTACGAGCAGGCCCACAACCAGTGGACGGGGTTGACCCTGGTCGTAATGTGGTGCGCCGTGCTCGAAGCACTCGTCCTAAGAAGCACCCTAGGGCAACGGGGACGTTGCCACCTGGGGGGGGAGGAGTGTAACGCATTGCCTAGCTAAGCCTACCAACCAACTTCCCTCTAGCCAAATGTCGAGAGTTTTCTCGACAAAGAGGGACTTGGAGAAGAAGGTTGGGTTTGGTTGGGATGTTAGGATTGGATTGGTTTTCCAAACCTCAACCAAGAGGATTGGGAAACTCCAACCCATCAAAGTGAAATCACAAAGGTTGGGAATCCAACCAATCAGAAACTGCCAAACAATTGTAACAATCTACTCTATCCTAAACACAACCATTGAATGGTTCTAAGTTGGGTTTTCCAACCCAACACAATTGCCACATAGGCTCCAAGCCTAGGAACCATCCCACCATGGAAACCATGGCTGGGATAGTTCCCCAAGGGGTGTATTGAGGGGGTCTGAGCTAAGCAAGCTGATTCTCAACCTCCCACTCCAACTAAACAATTGGAAATGGGATTATTTGGCTAAGTCCTTTAGACTCTCTCACAAGCTTCCCTACACTACTACTCCAAGTGTTTTTCATCAAAGGCATCAAGAAAATCTTCATCTCCAAGGCTGTTGAGGCTAGTTAAGGCTACTATTTTGTATTGGAATATTATAAAAGCATTGTAACCGCCATTATAATAGCCTTGGGCATTACAAAATGTCTGTTGAGAGTTCTGGCAGACCCACAAAAGCTATTGGTAAAGCGCGAGTGAGTGACGTGAGTGATTTATTCAGGCCGAAGCACATCTGCTGGAGCGACCATGAGACGAATCATTGGTAGGAATCGGCGGAACAGTCGAGACAAGTCGCGAGACGTGTGAAACGCGAGGATGCCAAAATAGGAAATGCAAGGCGACTGATTCCAAATCTAGTTGAGCGAGTCACGGGAATTCTGAGTTCACGGTTGGTGGGGGTGAGCAAAACAACCACTTCGAATTGGACAGAACAATGGGTGAACTTTCGTAGAGTTCGGTTTTATTTGGCTTAACGAAGAAACCGAACTCCAATCGAAACTAAACACAATACTACCCACTTGTATCGGAGTCCAGATCTCTTCCCTTCCATCGGTTTCACCACGCTGCCAGATCCACACCTTGGAGTTAGTAAGCTTGCCAGCGTGCCAGCTTAACGCTTGCCCCGCTCTCTGGATTAGCTCTCGCTGGATAAGTTCTCGCTAGATTTGCCTCGCTTCGCAAATTCGTCCTCCCTTGAAGTTAGTACGCTAGCTCTCAACACGCCACATCAGACCAACGCTCAAAACTCCCCATTCGCTCTCTGGATTTGCCTCTTACCGGAACTTGATTGCATCCTCCTAGGCCAGCTAGGGTAGGGTGCCACCCTCCAACCATGTTCCCTCCGAATATATTATACCTTCCAGAGGACAGCTTGGAAGGATCGCTGAATTCCGTCGGTCGGCTTCGCTGGTTTTCGAAACATTGTCACTCTTCCTCTCTCCAGCTAGCCCTCGGAAATTGTGACGATGGAGACCGAGTATCGTGGAGTGAACCTGTTGAAAGGCCCGGCTGAAACACGTTGGGAAGCTCGACTTACGTATAAACGCAGAAGCAAACGTCTTGGGTGCAAAAGCAGGCGACTTGGGTGCAGGAGCAGTGCACGGGAGGCGGCGATGCTGTACGACAGGTGAGAGATTGATGCAGTATCATGTGACAGCTCTTCATGGCATTGACCCTTCTAAACTGTGCTAAGATCGTTCTCATTTGACCTGCAGGGCGATGTACAAGTATTATGGTTCCAATGAGAAGCTTAATTTTGTACTCTCGGATGACAAAAAAAAATAACTCGATGCTCAGACAGTTGCTGAGTTCTTGGCATCTGTCAAAGAAGAGAATTAAGCTCTCAAGATGGGCCGGGGGTCGTCCCGGTTCACGGGTGTTTGTTGGCACAAACACATGGAGAAGTGGACTGTCGATATCATGGAAAACTCAATACCAAGGCACATTGGCTTTTTCTCAGATGATAAGGCAGCTGCAAGGGCATATGACACCGAATTGATTAAGAGAGATGGGCCTCTGGCCATGACAAATGGCAGAATCTTCGGTGAGGACTTGAGGAGCATGACTCCTTTGGTGAGCAGTCCGAACAAGGTGGCCGGTGTCATGTGCAGGAGGGGGGCAATGGCGCTAGTGTCATGTGGCCGGGGGGGATCAGCACGACGGCGCAAACAAGGTGAGCTGGAGTGGGTGGTGGGCTGAACATTTGATTTATGAAGCTGGCTCCTTGCAATGTTTCCTTTTATTGCAGCAGCAGTGCGAGTAGCTCCTCATGACTTGAGAGAACATTGTATTTGTCCTTGACCAGGCTTATGCTGTGAAAATCATTGTGGTCTTTTGTGCATTCCATTGGACAGAGATGGAGGAAGAGGAAGGAGAGGGAGAAAAGGGAAGGGAGGAAGACGAGGAGGGAGAGGAGGAGGGCGAAGAAGAGGGGGCTTGAGATGAGGATAGCGACGAGGATGTGGTGGAGATCTCCTCAACTTATCCCTCCAATCCCTCGAGCAGCAGGCAGGGCTACCCGCAGCGGGCAGCAGCGCACGGTGAGGAGAGGCAGGATGGACCGGGAGAAAAGGGAAAGGAGGAAGATGAGGAGGGAGAGGAGGAGGATGGTGAAGAGGATGTGTTGGAGATCTCCTCAACTCTGCCCTCCAATCCCTCGAGCAGCAGGCAGGGCTACCCGCAGCAGGCAGCAGCGCACAGTGAGGAGAGGCAGGATGGATTCGAGTATTTGTTTTACTTGAGCCTCAAGAAGGTTCAAGGCTGCGTGCAGCAACCCAACATTTCCTGGGAACAGCTGCCGTCCATCATGGGCGTGTCCCCTGCGCGGTTGAATTCTTGGGTTGTCAAACTGGAGCGTACTTGGACCAATGGTTGGGTGGCGGGGGGGAACATTGGGGGATGAGTTTGGGTGGGAGTGAAGGGGCTGTGGGGGATGGTGGGGGAATGAGGGATGGGAGGTGGGGTTGGCGGTGGTGGTGGTGCATTGGAGTCCATGCCCTTGTCTTGTAACTATCCTTCTTCTATTCCATTGCCTTGGTTATTTTCACATAACTTACCTTGGTTTCGTTACCCTGTAACACACATTGATGTCGGAGAGGATATCGTCATGCACAGAGAGCTCAAGGGGCACTGCTGAGTCTGTGAAACCATTACAATCTTAGTTGAACTCAAAATCCATACATCGTCCAGCATTGCATTGCATGTGCACCACACATCATACCGGCAGACGCGGATAGACCCTCTATTCAGGAGACTGATGTTGAACGGTTATAGAGAACGGTTCATTTGAATCTGGTACACACGACCTGTGCCATGTCAATGTTAAAAATGGGACATCAAAATGGGTAAAACACTTTTAGGAAGATTGATTGCTGACGTGGTAGTTCCATGTGCAAGGTATCTTCCACCACTGCCTACAACCCAGTAGGTCCCCTGCTAGACCCTTGGTTGATGGTATCTTGCTGCACTAAAACCATGCCTTTCCAGCCCCAAAACAGCTCCTCCCAACCTCACCCTGTCCCACTCATGCGCGCGTCGCTGTCTTTCTCACGCTTGTCCTCCTCATCCGCTCTGCTCCCAGGCAGTACAGAAGTCGACCCAGATCCAACGCCCCCAGCATCCCACGCCATGCCTTGCTGCGCTAGCGACAAATCCAGGCCGTCCCCGCCCTGGCCTTGCATGTGCGCGACCACATCATGCAGACTCGTGAGGTACGTCCACGCATCCAGCATCGACGGGCGCCTCTGGCTCTGCTCCGCCGTGCACCGCAGCGCCAGTCTCAGCACGGCCTCCACTGCCCTGGTGGGCGCAGAGGGCCCCAGCAGCGGGTCCAGCACGGCACACACAGGCGAGGAGAAGGCCCACCTCGCCAGCCCCCTGTCCTCCACCTCCTCGTCGTATGGCGATCGCCCCGACACCAGCTGCAGCAGCACCACCCCGAATGCAAACACGTCTGTCGCTGTGGTGACCCTCCCCCGCTGCGCGTACTCCGGGGCCATGTAGCCATACGTGCCCAGCACGGCCGTGGACATGTGTGTCGCCCGCACGTCCACCTGCCGTGCCAGGCCGAAGTCAGCCACTCGTACCGTGAACGTGTGTTGGGCCGCAGGCAGGGATGCAGAGGAAAGAGTGGTGGAGGAGGGGTGCGGTGAGGGCAGTGACGGTGCAGTTGCTTGGGTTGAAGAAGACGGGGTTGGATGAGAGGTTGCTTGAGAGGAGAGAGATTCAAGCTTGAAAGGCTCGCGGTGAAGAACATGAGGGGCGGAGGAGGGAGAGGGGAAGGGAAGCTGCGCAGCCTTGGAGGATCGAAAGAGGCGTAGGAGGGCAGTGTTGGAGACAGCAGAGTGGATGGACCCAATAATGCTGTTGCTGTTGCTGTTGCTGTTGCTGCCTGACATGGCCTTGGCTCGCATTGATGTTGCAGGCTCGCTTGCAACGGTGTTGCCAATGCTACTCGGGTCTGCTGAAGGCGTCACATCAACCTTGCATGGCTTGCCATCGGTTGTGTAGGTGCCTCCGTCCATGCTGCTGCACGCACCACTGCTACCACTACCACTGTTCTCATTTACACCATTATTACCCTTCTCTGTCACACTATCATCCCCCGTCCCACTGCCACTAGCATTTTCACTGCCGGACTCAGTCATCCCTCCTGATCCACTACCACTCCCTGTCCCCGGCCCACTACCACTCCCTGTTCCCGGCCCACTACCACTCCCTGTTCCCGACCCACTCACCACCGTGCTGCCGTCACTACTGCTACCCTCCTGCCCCCCATGAGCGCTCCTAGACTCCACCACGAGTATGTTGGAGGGCTTTATGTCGCGGTGAATGATGTAGGGCGAGCACTCGTGGTGCAGATACTTGAGCGCCTTGGTCAACCCCATCGCAATGCTCAGCCTCGCCTCCCATTTATTGAAACCTACCCCGGGTGCAGCCTCCCTCCTCCTGCGAAGCAAGTCCTCCAAGCTGCCCCCAGCAATGTACTCATAGATGAGCCACCTGTCCCCCGCCTCCACGTTCACATATGCCCCGTACAGCCGCACCAGGTTCTGGTGCTCCAGCTGCCCAAGGGTCCGCACCTCCGCCTGCACCTCCTTGTTCGCCTGCTGCTTCCCTCGCCTCCTCCCCTGAGACCCCCTTGGCCCCCTTGCCCTTCTTGCTCCCCTTGCCCTTTTTGCTCCCCTTGCCCATGGCCGTGGTAGCGGGAGAGGCAGAGTGCAGCGAGGGCAGCGACGAATGGAGCCTCTTGATGGCCAGTGTGCACTGCGTGCCGGGCACATTGCACCTGGTGCCACACACGGGGGAGGGGGGGAAGGCAAATGGACGGGGGACATGAGTGAAGGGACAGTGATGCGGGAAGGAGTTAGCATTCATGTGGGTCGTGCAGCGGTCACGTGAGCAAGAATTTGCATGCTGTGGTTGCAGATCTTACCAGGTCGCATCACACATAATCGTAAAAAACCTGTTTTCAACAATTCCACATACATAGGGGGGCGTAGACCCCCAGCCAGGCTTACTTGTAGACGCTGCCAAAGCCGCCCTTCCCCAGCAGCATAGTGTCACTGAAGTTGTTGGTGCCCTCCACTATCCCTTCCACCGTCACTCTCACTGGCGCCTGCTTCACAATCAGCAAGTACCCGTTCAGCCGCTTCCTCCTCTCCACCTCCCTCCTCCTCCCCACTACACACAGTGCTGCTGCCACCACGGCAAGCGCACACACACTCGCTGCCACAATGCCTGCCACCGCAGCCGCTGGCAAACCAGCTGAATTTCCCGGAGGAGGGGAGGAGGGCGGAGGCAGAGAGCAGGAGACGTTGGTGGGAAGGCCACAGAGAGCGGAGTTGTTGGCATAGGAAGCCACGGGGAGGGCGGAAAGTGGGCCGGCGGGGATTGGACCAGCGAGGAAGTTGGAGGAGAGGTTGAGGGAGCGGACGGACGAGAGGGCGGAAGGGATGGAGCCGGTGAGGGCGTTCCAGGAGGCGTCCAGCACCGACAGCTGCTGCAGGCCCGCCAAGCCCGAGGGCAGTGAGCCCGACAGGCGGTTGGTGGAGAGATTGAGAGTGACGAGCTGTGTGAGTGTGGAGAGGCCGTCAGGGATGGACCCTGATATCTCGTTGCCTCCCAGCAGCAGCTGTGCCACACTCGCACTCCCTGCACTCCCTGCACTCCCTGCACTCCCTGCACTTCCAGCACCGCTGTCCCCAGACGGGGCGGCACCAAGAAACTGAGGGATAGGCCCGGACAAGCGGTTGTTGCTGAGGTCAACGCGCACAAGCGCGGGCAGCTGCGCTATGTCTGCTGGGATGGCGCCTGTCAGGTTGTTACTGGCGAGTGACAGCTCCTGCAGGAGGGAAAGCGCAGCAAGGTTCTCCGGCAGGGCCCCCTCGAGTTCATTGCCGCTCAAGTCGAGGGTTTCGAGAGCGGTGAGCGCGGTGATGCGCGCGGGGATAGAGCCAGAGAGGCGGTTACCGGGGAGCAGCAGCACGGAGAGGTTGGCAGTGGAGGCGATGAAGGCGCGTGGGATGGCGCCGGTGAGAGCGTTGAAGGATAGGTCCAGCATCACCAGCCGCCCCAGCGACGCCGGCAGCGGCCCGCTGAACCGGTTGTGCGGGGCCGAGAAGTAGATGAAGCGCCGCTCTGCCGAGCTCAGGTCGGGGGGAATGCGGCCGGAGAGGCCGTTGCCGTCGAGCCAGATCTCCGTGATGTTCTCTAGTCGCGCCAGTGGCAGTGGGCCCCAGAGCTTGTTGCGCTCCAGGCGCACCTGGCGCAGGCGGCGCAGCATTCGGAAGGTGGCAGGGAGGGAGCCCGAGAGGCGGTTGTTGTCCAGATATAGGTTCTCCAGCAGCTCGCATTTGCCTAGCAACGCTGGCACGCGCCCGCTCAGCTGATTCCCACTGAACCGCAGGCTGCGCATGCGCGTGTAGCTGGGGGACGCGCAGAAGGGGGGGATGCGGCCAGTGAGGTTGTTTCTGGAGAGGTCCAGCTGGCCCAGGGCGGGCAGCGAGGCGAGGCCTACCGGTGGCAAGGCTGAGAGGGAGTTGTTGAGGAGAATGAGCGTCTCCAGCGAGGTCATGTGGCTGACAGACGCCGGCATGCTGCCACTGAAACCATTCGTCCCCGCATCCAGCCACACCAGCCCCGTGCATGCCGAGAAGTCCGGCAGCGGCCCAGAAAAGGTGTTTCCGGTGATTTCTATGCTGAAGGCGGCGCGGCACCAGGCAGAGAAGACGTGCGAGGGGAGGGTCCCTGAGAGGCGGTTGGTGACGAGGTCCAGGATGATGAGCCCCGCGAGCGCTGAGAGCGCCTGTGGCACACTGCCCGCCAGGTCGTTCGTGCCCAGCGCCAGCTCTGACAGCAAGGAGAGGCGCCCAAGAGCCGTTGGGATGGAGGAGGTGAGTGAGTTGACGTTGAGGTAGAGGTAGGAGAGGGATGGGAGTGCGCCGAGGGTGGCGGGTATGGTGCCGGATAGCTGGTTGTTGGAGAGGGAGAGGGAGATCAAGGCGGAGAGGCGGGAGAAGGCGGAGGGGATGGTACCGGACAGCTTGTTGATGGAGAGGTCGAGGAGCGTGAGCGCGGGGAGGAGCGCGAGGGCGGAGGGGATGGAGGAGGATAGGGCGTTGTCTGAGAGCACAAGGTACTGCAAGGAGGGGAGCGCGGCGAGGGAGGAGGAGATGGTGCCTTGCAGGCCCAGCTGCGACAGCACCACACCCTCCACCGCGTTGGGGGTGCTGCTTGTCACAGCGCTCACACCGCTCACAGCGGCAGCAGCAACGGTGGTGGTGGTACCGTTAGCAGCATCTGGTTGGCCTATCTCGTTGGAGCACACCACCCCAGTCCAGCGGCACAGCGGCACGAGCGACGTGAGCGACCATTCTTTCAGCACTTGCTGTGACGCCGGGGCTAGCGCTGCCTGGAACTCCAACAGCGCCGCCTTCTCTCGCTCCCACCCATCGCTGCTCCCCCCTTGCCCCACCACGACCTCCATGCGCTGTTGTGCTGCCACCGCCCCTCCCACCACAGTGCGCGGCGACAGGCTCTCATCCAGTTGAGCGCACAGCTGAGCCATATCGTACCGCCTCTCCCAATCCTCAGTCTCTACCGCTTCTCCTCCGCTACCTTCTGTTCCGCCATGCTCTTTCCCCCTCTGCCGCGCCCACAACAACTCCGCGGACGTCAGGCCGCGCGCTCCAACGCGGGGCTGTTGTCTTTCCGCAACCTCCTTCATCCCTCGCCCCACCACCCCTCCCGTCCGCGCGGGTGGGCGCGCCATCAAGGCCGCTAGCTCCTCCTCCATACGCCGCTCAAACGCTTCCCTCTGCCCGCCGCTCAACCGCCGCCGCCCTTCCACCGCCACTCCCGCGTACCACGGCCGCCTTCTTCCGCTTCGCGCGCCCAGGGCTTCACGCGCACCCGCCGCCGAAGAGGACCGCGCGCACGCCCACGCCAGCGCCTGGCGTTGCGGCCACGCCATGCTGCGCAGCTGCTGCCGCGTGACGCGCCCCCCCTCCATCCAGACCGCAGGCGCTGCGACGCATGTGGCTGCGGTCAACACACGGGGAGGAAGAGCATTAAAAGGTCGGCCCGGCGATAGGTCAGCGGACAAGTCATGCGTGGACAGGGGCAGGACAGGCGCGAGGCGCACTCACAGTGAGTCAAGGCGTGGGCGGCGATGAGAAGAAGGAGGAAAGCCAGTGCGTGACGCGGCGAGCGAGGCGAGCGCAGGAAGTACGCGAGACACATTGCGATGACGGGAGAAGGTGATTCCCTGTGTAGCACTGTCCAGTGCACAGCATCTCCAGGCAAGGAAACGGCCCCAAGACTAGGATTCTCCCGCTTGCTCTTGGTCTGACGTCCAGATTAGTAAACCCCAGCACCAACTGGTTGTTTTGTTCCAGTGATAAGAAGGTTGATGTGCTTGATGGGGCGACGGAAGGAACTTGAACATGAAGCTTGAAAGAGCTGCGAGCAACGCCCGCACCACCCCACGCCCGGGGTGCTGCTGAATTGATGGCGTGGTGTCATTTGTCATTTCACCCCTTCCAAACTCGTGGGATATCTCAGTATCTGACAACTACGCTGGGAACCGAATTGCACCGCAATAACGTTGACAATGGACATGGCCACAATGAACAGTCCCACTGCTCGTGGCCGCTCGGCGAGTGCGTTCAGCACGTCACTGTAGCAGACGACGACGTTGAAATTGAAAAAAGCGTTGCGCCGAGCCGAACAAACGCCCCTCCATGCATGAGCTGATGTGCTTGGCTTGGCGCCCAAGTCAGCGCCCAGCCTTGGTGCCTGCAGGAAACTGAAATTTGTGTACTGTATATTGTTCGGGATTGGGCTAATACAGCTATTTGGAGAAAATGATTCACCGTAGTTTAAAACGTCGTGTGCTTCGCCTTTTTACACGACGCCTTGACCTTTCTCCGACAAGCCAATGGGTTCTAGCGTGTACAGTATGGTGGTCGGTAACTAGTTATTGTTTCGTCACAGAGCTTGTGCGCAGCTAATGCCGGAGTGTTCTTTGCGACGGTTGCGAAGAGTTAAGTGTAGTCAGTGGTTTCGAGTGGGAGGTGCGCTTGTCAACGACTGTCTCTTTCGAAGTGATTGGCTCTTGTAAACTTGTTTAAGCCTTTACCTGGAGAACCTTGCAGTGCGGGCACGGCCATGGCACCTCAATTTAATCTCCAGTGCGCTTCTCGCCTGTTCTCGCCACACCCTGATCTCGTGCCGTTGCTCATTGCGGGATGCGTCTGCGCGTGAGGAGCGGAAAGAGTTCTTTTGCGGAAGCAAAGCTGCGGAAGCAGGGCGGGAGACAGCAAGGGGCGCGCGGCCAAGCTGCGCGTGTGGGGATCGTGAGCGCGGGAGGACGGCGGCAGCAGGGCCATGTGGGGTGGGGCGGGAGAGGTCGTGGGCGGGAATACAGGAGCGGCGCAGTGAGGCGACCTGCGTGGCGCCAGCGGGCGGAGCAGCGTGTGGCAGTACGGAATCGAGTCTTTAGGCGCAAGGGAGGGGGGGGGTCGGAAGCTTCCGTGGAGCAGCGGTGAGTGTGAGCGTTAGTGCGCAGCGGTGGGTGGCAGCCCCGGTGATGGCCATGATGTCGCCTGGTCACGCCTCTTTGTCATCGCCCGTCGCCCCTCGCGCCCTCGCCTCGCCCGTCGTTGCTGCCAGCCCGCCCGCGTACGGCAGTGCGGCCGCGCACGGGGACACCTGCAGCGACGGCGATGAGAGCGCTGGTAGCGCGGGCCGTGCGGGCGTGGGAGGGAGCGAGCACGGCGGCGGCAGCGGCGGGGCGCACGAGGGCGTGGCGGGTGAGTCGCTGCTGCAGCAGCACCAACGGGCGCGGGCCGAGGAGGCAGTGGCCGCGTTATCGAGTCCGGATATATCGGATCCGGATGATAGCGACGAGGAGGCGGAGGAGCGGGAGGAGGCGGAGCACACGCAGCAAGTGCTGGGCAAGGCGTACGCGAACGTGTTCGACCGCTACCACATGGGCGCGGAGCTGGGCCGCGGCCAGTACGGTGTCATCTGGCTCGCCACGGAGCGCGCCACGGGCGAGACTCTCGCGTGCAAGTCGATCTGCAAGGCGAAGCTGGAGGGCGACGGCGACGTGGAGGACGTGCGGCGCGAGGTGGCGGTCATGCAGGCGGTGCGCGGGCACAGCGCCATAGTGGAGCTGCGCGGCACGTTCGAGGACCGGCAGTGGGTGCACGTGCTCATGGACGTGTGCCTGGGCGGCGAGCTCTACCAGCGCATCCTGCAGCGCCAGCGGTACCCGGAGAGCGACGCGGCGGTGGTGTGCCACACGCTGCTGTCCGTGGTGGCGCACCTGAACGCGCTGGGGCTCATGCACCGCGACCTCAAACCCGAGAACATCCTGCTCGTGTCGCCGGACTCGCACACAGACGTCAAGATCGCTGACTTCGGCCTCGCCACCTTCGTCCAGCCAGGTGCGTGCCCTGCCTGCCATGCCATGGGATGGGATGTGTGCCGTACTCCTCCCTTTCCCATTCCCCCTCGCCCTGCTTCCACCCGCCCACCCGTCCACTTGTTCCGCATCTTTCAAACCACCCCCTCCCCTCCCCCCCCCCCCCCCCCACCCCCCCGGCCGCAGGTGCGGCGCTGAGCGGCATGGCGGGGAGCGCGTTCTACATAGCGCCGGAGGTGCTGGCGGCGCAGTACGGCGTGGAGGCGGACATGTGGAGCGTGGGCGTGGTGCTCTTCATCCTGCTCTCGGGCCTGCCGCCCTTCTGGGCGCCCTCCGAGGACGGCATCTTCCAGGCCATCGCCACGGGCCACGTGGACATGACCTCGGGCGTGTGGGAGGGCGTGTCGGCAGACGCCAAGGAGCTCGTCTCGCGCATGCTCACTCTCGACCCTCGCCACCGCATCACTCCGTCGCACGCTCTCAGTGAGTGCTCTGCTGTTGCTGCTCCCTCTGCACTCCTCCGTTCAATGCTCTGCCCCTTATGCTCCTTCTCGTGCCGCCACTGCTTAGCCCTTTTCCTCGCCCCCTGTGGTCTGTGTCCCCTCAGACCACCGCTGGTTGAAGGAGCACTGTGGCAACCTCACCAGCGTGCCCCCCTCGCCGCCCGCTAAGTCCACCTCTGCTGCCAGTACCACCGAACTCACTCCTAACCCTCCCGCACCACCGACGCCTGCTGCACCAGCAGCACCAGCAGAAGCAGACGCAGCAACGGCAGCAGATGCGACTTCACCAGCCGTGGCTGCAGCTAGTTCAAGCAGTAGCACAGCGGGCGGCAGTGCAAGCACCCCGTCAACCAGCGCGGCGCTGCGCAGCAGTGGCCGCAGCATTGGCAACAGCGCCAGCAGACGCAGGCGCGGGGTGGACGGCAGCAGCAGCAGCAGCCGCGTGCTGGCAGGGCTAGGGGGACGGGAGGACGCGAGCATGGGCGAGGGCGCATTGGCGGTGGGGGGGGGCAAGGTTGGGGTTGGGGAGAGGTCAGAGCTGATGGAGCTGTTGCAGCAGCAGATGAACATGAAGAGCAGGGGGCGCGTGGGCAAGAAGAAAGGCAAGCCCTCTGACGCTCGTGCAGCAACTGCTGCGGCAATAGGGTCTGCTGCTGCTGCTTCTGCTTCCGGCAACAGTGGTGCCAGTGGTGGTGGTGGCAGGGAGGGTGCTGGTGGGGGCGGGGGCATGGGCGGGATGACGAAGCGCAGCAGTGTGGCGCGGCTGGTGTTTGAGGAAATGCTCACAGAGGTGGCGGCGGGCAGGGGCAGGCGAGGCGCCGTGGCGTCGTCCAGGCAGAAGGGGGCGGGCGCGCCTGGCAGCGGCGGCGGCAGCGGCATCAGCAGCAGCAGCAGCTCCATAGCGCGGTCGCGGTCGTCAGACGTGAGTGCGCTCATGGGCTTCGCTAAGAGCCCTCACACTGACCCCCTGGGACTGCCTGTGCCCGCTGGCGACTTGCTGCGCGGCAGGCGCACGCTGGGCAGACGGTTTGAGCGAGAGGAGGAGGAGGAGGGAGGCGTGGATGACGAGGACGATGGAGGGCGGGCGGCGTGGGAAGACGGGGAGACAGATGGCTATAAGGAGGGGCAAAGTGGGCAGAGGAAGGTGGGTGAGGGTGTGGGCGAGGGCAAGTCAGAGCGGAGTCCGAAGCTGAGCCCTGCTCGTCACAGCCCGCTTGCCCTCGCCACAGCGCGCGTGGGGGATGGCGGCCGCGAGGCGGGCAGGGAGGCGTGGCGAGTGGAGCGCGAGGGCAGCAGGCGAGTGGAGAAGGGCGAGCTGATGCAGCTGCTGGCCACGGTGGAGACGCACATGGCTGCAGCCGCAGCAGACGTGCCTGCTGCTGCTCCACACACGCCCGCAGCCGCTGCAGCAGCAGCAGGGCAGGTGGGCAAGGGAACTGTGCCGCGCGTGTCCAGTGCAGATGATGTGACAGGCAAGGCCAAGGCGGGCGGCAAGGCAGGGGAAGGGGATGGGCGGCAGGGCGCAGGGCGAGGCGCCATTGCGAGAGCCACGCCGCCGCTGCCTGTGGGGCGCGCCAAAACAGACGTGGGGAGCACCGTTCTCGCCGCCACGCCCTCTCCTGCTGCTGCCGCTGTGGCGCCTGATGCTGCTGCTGGGGTGGCCGCTGCACCCGGGACAGGGTCAGCAGCAAGCGGTGCGAGAGGGATGGGTGTGGGAGCAGGGACATCTGGGGGCGGGGGTGTGGGCGTGGCAGCGAGCGGCAGCAGCAGCGGTCGCTTGTTGCGGCATCGGTCAGAGGTGGTGGGACTCATGAGAGGTGGGCCAGACGCTGACAGGGGCGCACCCACTGGTGCTGCTGGTGGCACTGGTGGCGGGGCAGATGCTGGGGGCAGGAGGCCGGGCAGGAAGACAATGAGCGAGCTGCTGTCCGCCCTGAACGACCTGGATGGCATGGCCGCTGGCAGTGGCCTGGGGGGCACTCCTGGCAGCAAAGGCGTGGGGGGCAGGGAGGCACGGGTGTGGGAGAAGGAGAAGGAGAAGGAAAAGGAGAAGAAGGAGAAAGTGAAAGAGAAGAGGAAGGAAAAGGAGGAGAAAGAGAAGGAGAAGGAGAAAGAGAAGGAGAAAGGCAAAGAGGAAGAGAAGGTGAAGGAAAGAGAGAACGAAAGTGAGAATGTCATGATAGCAGATGGAGAAGTTGAGCAGGAAAAGGCTTACGACAACGGAGATTTGGAGGGCTGTGAGAGTAGCAGGGACAAGGAGAAGCAGCAGGGAGGGGAGCAAGGGGGGGACTCTGGCGCTGCGAGTGGTGAGGAGCGTGATGCGCGGCGTGGTGACGATGGGCAGGCAGACAAAGTGGTGGACGCTGCACAGGAGAGTGGCGAGGACGGGGAGATGGAAGCGTGGGAGTGGGAGGAGAAGGAAAGGATTCAAGTGCAGGAGGAGAGGGAGCAAGACACACGACCTCTTGAAGCCTTCTCCACCGCAGCAGCAGAAGCAACAGCAACAGCAGCATCAATGGCACGGGGCATGGCAGACCCTAGTGCAGCAGGGAGTGCACCTACGGCACCTTGGCGTCGCCTGGTGTCCCTACCCATCTATGCCTCGCCCTCCAACCCCACCAGTGCGGCGCCACCCCAATGGGGGTCTGATAGCAATGCTCCCATGGCACCTGCCAGCCCTCTGCTTGGGGGGCCAGGCCCTGCCGCTCACGCCCACGCTGCTCTTGCTCTTACCGACGGCGATTCTGCAGCTGGCTTCGCCACCCCGTTAGCCGCCAGCCGAGGGCAGCGTGTGGCGCTGCGCTCTCTCTCCACACACGCGCTGCGCTCCTCCTATGCTGCCGGCCTCACTACCCCGCCACCAGCTGCGCCGGCGGCAGCAGGGGGCAGCTGGAATGCAGATGGCACCGTTCCCCCGGGGCTAGCAGGCGAGTGGGGGAAGGGCGGCAGCAGCAGGGGCCAGGGGAGAAGCGTGGGCGACTACGCTGGTAGAGCTGCCACTGCCACGCTTGCGGCGCCTGTGAGCGGTGGGAAGGGGCCTATGGGCAAGGGGAAGTGGGGCGCTGGTGGAGGCGCTGGTGCTGCTCGTGGTGGAGTGGTAGCGGGCGCAGGGGAGGCAGAGGAGGGGGACGGGGCGAGGGAGAGTGAGGAGCGCTTGCGGTCGCCTCGCCTGGATGCAGGCGCGCCTTTCTCCCCCGCCGCCACGCCCACCTGGGGTGCCGCCAGGGCACGCTTCCCCCCATCCGCCACGGAGCCCCTCAATCTCCCCCCGCGCTCCCCCCTGCCCCACGCCAAGTCGTTGAGCGGAACCGTGCCTGCCAATGGCTTTGGAGGGAGCTGGAACAGTGCAGGCGCCACCAGCAGCAGTGGTGGCGCCGGTGGTGGCGGGCCAGGGGGGGTGATCAGCAGCAGTAGCAGCACCAGCAGCACTTGCAGCGGCAGTAGCATCACAGGGAGTAGCACGAGTAGCAGCAGCGTGAGTGGCAGCAGTGGCAGTGGCAGTGGCAGCCAGGCAGGCAGCAAAGCATGGGGTTCTGGGAGTGGATACGTGGGGGCCCAAGGCCAACAAGCCATGGTGCACAGCGCTCATCTCGCCAACCCTGTCTCTCCTCACCCTCTCTCCCCTCGCTCGCTTGCTGGTCCACTGACCCATCCGCATGCCTTCCGTCCAACATCTCCCCTGTCTCGATCACCCAGTCCAGCCTCTCGCTATTCCCACCCTCCACTCACCTCCTTGCCTTCCTCCCAGCCTCCCATGTTCGACCAATCGCAGCCGTTCGCCTCCCCCCAGCCCTCCCCCATGCCTGTCTCCCCGCATCACCATGCGGCCACCTTCCCCCACGCCTTCCCCGTGCATCCTGACTTCCACTCACCCATGCTGCCGCGTCATGGCCCCACACTCTCCTTCCCCAAGTCCCCTCGCGGCGAGCCGCGCTTGAAGAGCAGTGTGAGCTTTGGGGGCGGCGTGGGGCCGCCGGCAGGCTCTGGGACAGCAGCACTCCCGGGGGGCCACATGCGCTCGCCTCTCCATCGCACCGCATCAGCCACCGCTGCTGCCGCGCCTCCATCTTCCTTGGCTGCTGCCCGTGCGCCTGGCAGCATCACCCTCGCAAAGCCCTACATCCCTCCGCCCTCGGCTGCAGCAGGCATTGCGGTGGCAGGTTCATACGACTCGTGCGGGTCAGGCACAGGGCTTATCCCAGACGACCAGGCCTTCTGTCGCTCGCTCTACCCCGCGCCTGACTCCGCCTTCCCGCTCTCGCCCCTCTACCCACACCACCACCACCACGACTATGGCCTTGGGGGATATCACCTGCCCGCTGACCCTGGCAGCGGCTCCGGCGAAGGGGGTGGGTACGCCATGGGGTATGCAGCGGAAAACGCGAGCTCGTACCGGTCTTTCCATCGGGGGCAGGCCGCGGGGCACATGAGGCAAGGAGTGCGGTCGTCCCTGCCACACTCGCGCAGCATGCAGCAGTATGAGGCGGTGTCGAGTGGCGATATGTATGCGAGTGGGGGGCATGTGGACGAGTACGAGGGCGACCAGTACATGGTAGGGCGTGCTGGAGGGTACGGTAATGGGCAGCAGTGGGACGGCGACGGCTCGGGCTACTTATCTCGGAGGTACAGCTTTGAGAACGGGCAAGGGGCAGTGGCAGGTGGTGCGTGTGTGGACGGCACGTGGATGAGCACAGGCGAGGGGTATGATGTTTCAAGGAGGCGGGATAGGGAACGCGTGGACAAGGGAGGGAGGAGAGAGAGAGAGGTAAGAGGAGTGCGGGAACTGCAGCGAGCAGGAGAGGTGTCGCCCATGCCTGTTGGCGCCTCCTCTGGCGCCAGGGGCAGCAGCAATGTGGGTGTTGGTGGCAGTGGGAGTGAGAGGGTGCGATCAGAGAGAAGGAAGCAGCTGCTGCGGCAGAGGTCACAGGACGCCCCTGTGGCTGCAGCACTGGTGATGGGGGCAGGAGGAGGGGGGCGCATGAGGGGGGAGAGTGAGGTGCATGCAGCGCGCAGCATCAGCCTCAACACCGTACAAGCCGCCATGAGCCGGGACACGTCTGCTGGCTCTGCTGACTCGGCGTCGCCCCTGGAGTCGCCGTGCGTGAGCTGGGCAGGGGATGAGGCGATGGAGGCGGGTGATGGCATGGGCGAGGGCATTGCGCTGGTGATGCGGCGAGAAGGCATGCTGCCCATGCAGGGGGGGAGGGGGTTGCAGGGGGAGAGGGACAGCGAGGGCAGTGGAAGGAGGGGCGGTGAGAGACCGTCAGGGAGTGAGTGGGAGGGGAGTATGGAGGGGAGCGATGAAGAGGCGGTGCAGGGCGAGGAGGAGGAGGATGTGTACAGTGAGTGGAGTGATGGCGTAGGGTCCAGCTCAGGGTCAGAGGCGGCGTGGGGACGGGATGAGGAGGAGAGTGACGGGGGTGCGCGAGTGGGCAAGGATGTGTTGGTGGACATGCGGAGAGAGAGGAGTGTTTCGGGCAGTGATGTAGATAGCAGTGAGAATGAGGAGGCTTCAGATGGGTGGAGTGCAAGTGATGGGGAAGGAGTAGACGGTGAGCTGTGGGAGGGCGAGAGGGAGAGTAAGAGGGAGAGGGATAGTGACCGGGCTAAGTGCAACGGAGACAGAGTGAGGGAGGATGAGAGAGATTGGGATGACGATAGGGATAGATACAGAGAGAGGGATCGAGACAAGGAGAGAGCTAGGCCGAGGGATCGGGATCGAGACGGGGCGAGAGACAAAGAACAAGGGAGGAACCGAGACCCGGAGAGAGGCAGGGAGGATCGAGAGAAAGAAAGATATAGGTCCAGGGAAAGTGAAAAGCCAAAGTCTAAGCACAGGGATAGAAGTCGAGAACGGGACAGCAGGCACAGTGATAGCACGAGTAGGCACAAGGAGAAGCGAGGATCAAAGAGCAGAGACACGTATTATGAAGAGGAGAGGCACAGAGAGCATGGGAAGGAGCGGGCCAGGGAGAGGGAGAGGGATAGCAAGCATGAGAGAGGGAGCGAAAGGGAGCGAGAGCGACATGAGCGCACAAGGGAGAGGAGCAGAGAGAGACATGGCCACAAGGTCAGGGAGAGAAGCAGTGATCGAGAGAGGAGCCATGAGCGTGATGAGGCAAGGAGGAAGGAGAAACGCAAGGAGAGGGAGCAGCAGAGTCGAAGGAAGGATCCTGAGCAGGCACGTGAGGCCGGTGGGGACAGGGAAAGACGAAGGGAACGAGACAGTGGTAAGACAAGAGAGAAACGTCAGGAGAGGTATGAAGAGAGAGAGTGGGAAGGAGAGCGGGATGGGAAATGGGATAAGGAGGATGATAGGGAGCGAAGCAGAGGTTCGAAAGCTGAAGCTCAATCAGTGATGGAGGATGGTGGTGGTAGGGGGAAGGTGAGAGATAAAGAACGAGAAAAGAGTCGTGATAAGGAGAAAGGAAGAGAGAAAGATCGAGAGAGGGGTAAGGAACGAGACAGAGACAGGGATAAGGAGAGGGAGAGAGACAAAGGTAGGGACAGGGACAGGGAGAGAGAGAGGGACAGGGATAAGGATAGAGAAAGAGATAAAGAAAGGGACAGGGATAAGGAGAGAGACAGGGATAGGGATAAGGACAGGGATAGGGGCAGAGAAAAGGAGAAAGGGAGGGACAAGGATAGCGAGAGAGAAAGAGAGAGAGAGAGGAACCGGGAGAAAGGGAGAGAGAGTTCCAAGCACAAAGGCGAGAGGACACGTGACCGGGACAGGGACAGGGAAGAAAGGGACAGAGATCGGCATAAGGACGGCAAGGACAAGGAGAAGAGCCGCGATAAAGCCAAGAGCCTGGAGAAAGGGAAGGAGCAGAACTGTGACAGGGAAAAGGGTGGCAGGAGCTACAAGGAGAAGTAGGCTAAGGACGCAGTTTCAGCAAACCAGAACAGTGTATGACATCCGACTGGTGATGTACCTACATGAAGGTGACTACAACCTGTGGCACTCTGCTCAACCATTTTCAGCCGTGCAGAATGCACTACACCCCTCTCTCATCTCCCACTTGCACTTTCCCCACACCGTCCATGCTCCCTCACAGCCAGTTTGTTCCAGTTCAGCACGCGTACCTGCAGTGTCTAGTTATTGTTCCCCCAGGTAATTTATTCTTAACATGTCTGCCAGACTGACTTACTAACTGGTTCCATGTATCTCACTTTTCAAACATTTTCAAGCCTACATAATGGTTCACTTGGTTCCTCCCTGGTTCAGTAGTGTGCACCTGGGTTGGTGTTCCTTGTGAAACTCTCCTTGTAGGGGTGTAGTTAGCATTTGACAGCTTTCTTCAGGGGGGAGCATTGTTTTCATGTAGCCAGTTTGATCCAGCTGCCCTATCCACTCTTGGCTGATCATTATCGCAATCGCGCAGCGGGTAATGAAGATTAGCCAATCCGAACTTGTCATCTTGATCTCCGAGCATTCGAAGCGTGAACGAAAAACGCATCTGTGCATTCTCTCGCGAAGAAATTGGAAAAGCTGCGGCTCCCACCAATAGCTGGAGAAGTGAGCATGAACAGTCGTCGCCAAGTGTCCACTTCTCACACGGGATTCGCGCGATGCCACGCTGGTCGCGAGTACAGGCACGTGTCGCTCACAGGGCTCGCGCTCCTTCACCTCACCAGTTGATCCGTCCGTCAATCACAGTTTGATTGATCATTTGGCTGTTCGAATTTCAAACAAGGAACTTCAAATTCCACATTGCCCGCGGATTCCCTGGAATCACAAGCCGCGGAAAATGAGGCAAATGCCAGCAGTACACAAACGCCTTGGATGCATACTGGGGAACTGTATCTGCGATCACCAACTGTATCTGCGATCACCAATCCATCTCCTCGTACCTCAACTCAAACCCTCTCCCATTTTCATTTGAGTTGCCTGATCCATCTCGTTTCAGCAGCATCATCCACTGGACTCCATTCGAAGCGCTTCATCAGTCTGGCTTCTTTTCTCTCTGAGCTTTTAACCCCACGAATCGTTGACGGTTTCGTTCCTCTTCTGCTTAGGAACAATCCTGGCTGACGATTTATCTACTGATCAGACCGGATTTCAGCTGGCCTTACCTTCATACCTGATCAGGATTGTACAACCATTTCAACAGATCTCAACAACGGGCGGTAGCGCTAGACCTCGATAAAGGCGAGCGAGTAAACATTCGATCTGCAGCCGCGTCCTGTATCCGTGGCGAGCATGAGTCCGAGCACAGCGTTGGACCCCGCTGGCACGCCACGCGGTCCCTGGCAGCGGGACGGCCATGGGCACGTGGATGTGAAGGACGCGGTGCTGAAGGAAGTTGACCTGAGCCACATGACCTCGTGCGCTCCGGTTGTCAAGGACGCGGCGGACTACGAGAGGGAGGAAGACGCGTACTGGGCCGCGTCGCCCATGGCTGCCGCCCTGGCGTCGTCCAACCCTCCAGTGCAGCCGGACTATAAGGAGGCCCTGTACGACCTCGCAAATCACAGCTGGCGCCAACTTGGCGACGTCCACGTCATCAGCGAGGGAGATGACGTTAGAGCAAGCGACGAGAAACCCGTTGTGGGGAGCACGCGTTGTCGGGTCGCAGAAGCTCTTATTCCGGAGCACGGTCACCCGCAGACTCGCCAGTGTTCGCAGCAGCAACTGCGCGGCAGGCTGGACGGGTTTGGTGACCCCGAGCCCTGGGTTTGGGGGAAGGCACAAGCCCGTGCGAATGAGGGGGATGCTTGTGAGCGCCTTGCAAGTGTCGGAGGCGCCGCTCGCAACACTGTTCAGTGCGGCGCCACGATCCGTTCATGCATCCAACACCAGCCGCCGGTCCTGCACGACCGCCGCTCCTCTGGCGACTTTTCGTTCTTCCACTTCCCCGTGCTGCCCCGTGAAAGCGCCCCTGTCAACGAGGCGCTGCCAGTCGAGAGCAACGCTTGCCCTCGCAGCCACACTGCGTGGGCTGGCAGCGGGCCGGCGGGCGGCGGAGACAGCGAGTACCAGTTGTTCTCCAGAGGCTCCACGGGCGGCAGGGCGGGCATGGCCGCGGTTCGCATGGGAAGGGCGGGAGGAGAAGGGTTTGGGGGGCTGTCTGTGCCCGTGATGTGATGGGTGTCATGTCATGTGCTGTGATGGGATGGATGGGATCGGATGGGATGGTTCGGATGGGACGGAAGGTAATTTGACTGGGCGGTCGGCTTATTGCCTAGATGCTCTCGGTTTGGCTGGGTCGTATCGAGCATCTGAGTAGTAATGACAGGAGGGTAAGACTGGAAAGAGGAGGCGAGACTCTGCTGAGGCGGCTCTCAGCTCTCGTTCTGACAACTTTAGTGCCTTTGTAAGCGTATGCAGACAGTCCAAGAAAGAAGGTGTATTTCTGTCTTCCCCTGTTCTAATTCTTCACTTTGTCGTCGGTTTGTGTCTGCGCTCCTGTTCCAGAGTCGATCTGACCCCTTTTATGTACCATGCGTGTGATTTGGTGATTTCCGTGCGGCGCAAGGAGAAACGGAGGGAGGAGGGGTGGAGGATGAGGACCGACTTAGTCAAGGATATCACTGAGTCGGATGTCTGCTCCACTTCTGTTGCAGCTGTTACGTCCCTCAAAAGGTTGCCCCACGACGAGCAAGTGTGATGTGACCAATTCTGCCCCAGCTCAAGGCGAGGCACAGAGGCATGGTGGGTTGGGATGAAAGGCGGAACATCAAAAGGCGACTTTGCCCCTGGAGTGTGGCTTCTGTGCAGATGAACTGATCGGAATGTGGACTCACTTAAACGCTGCACTGCTCACGCGTCAGCCATGACTCGGAAAGGCTGGAAGGAGAAGTTGGCTGATGGACGGGTTGTTTTTGTTGCCCGGAAGAGCTTTTATGTGCAGCTGAGACGAGGGGAGCTGTTTCACGCGTGGGGACAGTGTGGAAAGGCATGCTGTGTGGAGCACAAAGTGTGCCTCACTCGGCAGCAGGCTGGTGCTGGGCCAGGGCAAAGGGTGGATGGGGAAGAGGAGGCGTCTTGTACCCAGTGTGAAGTATGGTCGACAAGTGAAAAACAGGTCACCACCGGTCAAGAGGGACTGAGAAGGTTGTGCGTGAGCAGTTGCTACAGGATGAGAAACAGATGTGCAATAGAAGGCAAGAGGATGGATTACCGTAGGCTGGCACATTGTGGGGTCTCGAGATTCTTGTTGATGCTGACTCGCATTGGCAACTGCATGTAGCCATGCTTAGAGTATGCTTGCACAGCTGGCAGTAAGATGAGGTACCTGTTAGTGCCATGGTGCAGCTGATTGGGATGTGTTCTATGTGTATTCAGGCAGAAGCAAGAGCAGGGAAGCAGAGTGAGCGGACAATGAATACATCTCTTTGGTGATCGTATGGTGATATTGCTGGTTTATGGTGTGAAATTGTTGATGCTGCGGATGAAGCAGGGGACTAGTTAGTGGAATTACCCACGGCAATCTGTGGATGTAAAACACTGCCCATCCCGAGCTGTGCATCTGCTGCTCTGAGAGTTCTATGTCTCTTGGAATGTCTGAGAGTCCAAATGGAGGTGCGGGTGTGCAGGAATGTCTGAATGGGATGATCGAGTGTGCATGTTCTTAGGAGGATCTACTGTTTACAGACGTTCAGATATTTTCTTTGCCAAAGAAGCTGCATGGCTGGGCGTGAGCATTGAGCGATGCTGTAACTGACAGTTTGGGCACTGGCACCTCTCACACTCTTGCTGTAGGTGCTAGCGTGGAATGGCATGGCTGTTGTGCCTGATGTGGTGTGTGTGGTGTTGTCACACCGATAACATTACGGTTTGGGGAGTTTGTGTCGTGATGTTGACATTGGTGGTGACACCAATACTCTGCCAATGCCAGAATTTTGCGAGAGCCAACCCTACTCGCGGTGGCCCGTTCTGTAAGTGCACATTTCAGCGCGTGGGTGCTCTGGACCGCCACTTTCACCCCATCAAGGCTGTGTGTACTTCCCCTCACTCTCACTCGGCACTGTGTGCGTTGCCCTGGCATGCGGCTGAACCTCACTGTCGCTTGGCCAGTAGCAGCCAAGTCCTCCTCGTGCCACAGTCATCAGCCAAGTCATCATGGCACGCACAGCACCTGCAGGAGTTCGCTCTGCCCTGCATGAGCCCAGGCGCCTTCGAGGCTGCACGCACACCCACCCCACCCACTTATTCTATATCATGCAGACACATGCAGCACAGCACAGCGCAACACACAGCACATTTAAGCACACCTAAGCATAGCTACACATGCAGCACAGAAGAGCAAGGAGAGCAGAAGTAGCCAGAGGCCCATCTTCAGAACAGCCTTGGCCTTGTAGGAAGGAACGATCATAATGGCCCACCACCATACGGCACCCTGATTCACGCAAGGGGCATGGGGGGTGATGGGACGAGGGGACATAAGCAATGCTTAATGTAAAACGTGTTATCCTCCATCTGGTGGTTCCGTTCATAGAAAGGCAGATATCCAGGGTGTCAGAAAGAGAAGAAAAAGAACTACACAAGGTCAAGGATGATGGGAGACGAGTAAGGCATGGGAGCCTGGAGAAGATTGCAGGCGATAATAACCAACCAGCCAACACATACAGAGAGCTTGGATGCACTGATACGTACAGTGTACTCACTCATTGCATTGCTGCTGCTGCAACCAATGGCAGCTGTGATTGTCGTCGCAGCTGTCGTTGCCCCCACTGTTACCGCTGCTGCCCATGATACAAGTCACCAACGCTGCTCCCATGAGTCGGCCAGGAACCAAGCCCACACGCACATCCACTCCCTGTCATTAGCCTCCGTCTCACAGGCCGCCAGGCACACACACGCACGGGGAGAGACGCACACAACAGACACAGAAGCGGCGCAAGAAAGGAGGGTTAGAAGCAGCAGCAAAAGGCGAGTCGTGGAGGCACGGGCAAGAGACACGACTCTTGCCTCTACGCGGCGACGCCCTACGACTCACTTCACGGCCCCCCTGCAAGCACCCCCTCGCACGTACCTCGCTCCGCCCGCCGCTCTGACGCTCCTGCGCCTCGCCTTCTCCCCACGCAGCACCACCCTGCTGCTACCCGTGCTCCAGGCTGCTCGTCCGCATCAGCTGCAGCTGCTACTGCTTTCTGCTGCCGCACAATGCTGTGCTCCAGGGTGCTTGGCTGCTGCAGCCGTGCTCCCATCGCGACCCTCTCTGCGTCGCTGCGTTGGTTCCCAGAGAGGGCAAAGAGACATCGAGAGAAAAGGGGCGAGGGAACATGACATTAGAAAGACCGACACCCAAGGATACATGAAGAGAAGAACGAGCAACAAGGACAAGGGTGAAGGGCGATGGGAAAGACGTGGGAGCCTGGATAAGAACGCAGGCGATATCAAACAACCAACAGAGAGGAAACTTGGAAGAACTAGAGTAAGCTGTACTCACTCATTGCACTGCAGCTCCCATTAACGCCACACTGCCACAGCTACTGCACATGCTGCTGGGTGAAGGTGCGGCCCTTCACTGCTGCTCACCCCTCCGCTGCTGCTGCTGCCCCCACAGCAGCCCATAGTACCGGCTCTGAATAAAAGGTGCCTCATTTCTGGCGATAAAAGAAAGGGGAGCAGAGAAAGTGGGAGGGCAGGAGAGGAGGGATTTGAGAGGTAAGCAGAGTGGCATGATTAACTGGAACACTGCAGCAAAGATACATGGCTGCTGTGGGAAGGCAGTAGGCAGTAGGAAGACAGTAGGCAAGACAGACTGGCACGAAAGAAAGCATGAAAACGGGGGAAGAAGAAGTGGCATACTGATCTACTCACAACTCCTTGTGTGCTTGCCATAATCCTGCAGTTGCCCTGAGTTGCTGCTGCCACTGTTGCCTTGAGTACACACAGGCACCTGCACACAAGCACTCCATAACCCCCCCCCCCTCCCCTCCACACACATGCGCACAGGAACCAAGCCCGCATGCACATCCCCACCCAACCCCTGCCACTCCCCACCGTCTCGCCAGGCACACACACACGCACAGGGAGAGATGCACGCACACAGACAGAAGCGGCACAAGAAGGGAGTGTTAGAAGCAGCAGGAGGGTGGTGGTGGAGGAGGCAAGGGCAAGAGACACGACTGTTGCCTCTGCGCGGCGACGCCCTACGACTCACTTCACTGCCCCCCCGCAAGCACCCCCTGGCACGTACCACTGCTGTTGCTGCTGACAGTGCTCCAGGTTTGGTGCTGCAGGTTGCTGAAACACACTGACGGCGCTCCAGGGTGCGTGGTTGGTGCAGTTGTTGCTCTCGTCGTTACCCCCTGTGCGTGGCAGCCTCTGACTGTGCACACCATGCCACACCACGCGCACCAATGCACATCTCCATCGCACGGCCACTCATGCCCAGCCTTGGAAGCACATGATAAAGACACACCCATACACACGCACGGGGAGAGAGACACAGGCACAGAAGAGGCGCAAGAAGGAAGGGTAAGAAGCAGCAGGAGGCGAGTGGTGGAGGAGGCACGGGCAAGAGACACGACTGTTGCCTCTACGCGGCGACGCCCTACGACTCACTTCACAGACCACATGGACGCACCCCCTGGCACGTACCACGCTCCGTCTGCCGCTTTACCACGCCTGCGTGCTGCTCCATGTTGCTCTGTTGCTCCTGCGCCAAGTCTTCGCCCCAAGCAGCGCCCTGCTGCTGCCCGTGCTCCCGGTTGCTCGTTGTCTGCTGCTGCTGCAGTTGTTGCTCTCGTGGCGACTACCACCAAATTGCTGCAGAGAAGAGGAGGGGACAGGAGAGGAGGGGACTGGGAGTTGAGAAGAGTGGCACGAACATATGGCAGCACAGCTGCAAAGACTTGTGGCACCGTGGAAAAAAGGTGGACAAGAGAGCGCGGAACCACTCGATCAAAGAAAGCAGGAAGATGGTGACTGGTGGCATACTGCTCGATCTTCCTGCAACTGCTGCAGCCACTGGTGTTCTGTGCGGTGCCGTGCTGTGCGGTGCCGTGCGGTGCCAGTAACGGAACGGAAGCCCTGTCCACCCCGTGCCATTCCGCGTCCACCCCGTGCCATTCCCCTCCACCTCGCAGGCCGTGAGGCACACACACACATGGGGAGAGAAAACACGCACACAGAAGCGGCGCAAAAGGAAGGTTTAGGAGCAGCACGAGAGGAGACGAGTGGGGGAGGCAAGGGCAAGAGACACGACTCTTGCCTCTGCGCGGCGACTCACTACACGTCCCCCCTGCACGCATCCCCTGACACGTACCATGTTCCGTTTTCCGCTCTGCGCCACGATTTCACTTCTCCTCGCTGGGAAGGCCGTCTCTCGTGCGCGCCATCCATGGCAGCCCGTGCATTTTCCGTCCACTCGCTGCCATTTCCGTCCGTCTCGCAAGCCGTGAGGCACACACACGCATGGGGAGAATGGCAGCCACACAGAAACGATGCAACAAGGGAGGGTTAGAAACAGCAAGATGCGAGTGGTGGAGGCAGGCAAGGGCAAGAGACACGACTCTTGCCTCTGCGCGGCGACTCACTACACTGCCCCCCTGCAAGCACCCCCTGGCGCGTACCATGCTCCAGCTAAACGTTTTCTCCTCCTTGGCAGAGCATGCGCCTTCACCCCAAGCAGCATCCTGCTGTGGCCCGTGCTCCAGCCTCCAGGCGTGCTGCTCCCGGTTGTCTCGCAGGCCATGAGGCACACACACACGCACGGGGAGAGAGGCAACGACAAAGAAACGTGCAACAAGGGATGGTTAGAAATCGCAACAGGAGAGTGGTGGAGGCAAGGACAAGAAGACACGACTCTTGCCTCTGCGCGGCGACTCACTACACGTCCCCCCTGCAAGCACCCCCTGGCACGTACCATGCTCCAGCTAAACGTTTTCTCCTCCTTGGCAGAGCATGCGGCTCCTTGGTCGCACCTTCACCCCCAGCAGCACTCTGCTTCGGCCTGTGCTCCAGCGTCCAGGCGTGCTCGTGGTCTGCTCTTGATATCTGCAATAGGAGGATCTGTGGCTTCTCACTTGAGCCAAAACCAGCCAGTGGCCAGATTTCAGAGGAGGAAGCGGTGAAGCACATGCAATACACATCAGGAGCGCTTGGCATCACATAAGGCAAAGCGTTCGGAGGAGAAAATACTTGGTGGAAAATTCAAGGCGCGGTTGCTACTGCTGCTACAAGTCACCAGCGCTGCTGCACTCACCAACGTTGCTGCTGTGTCTCGGGCAGGAAAAGCCCGCAAGCTTGTCACCCCCCGTCCACTCCCTGCCATTCCCCTTCGCCTCACAGGCCGTGAAGCACACACACACAACGAGAGAGGCACACGCGGACAGAAGCAGCGCAACAAAGGAGTGTTAGAAGCAGCAGGAGAGGAGGCGAGGGGTGGAGGTAAGGGCAAGAGACACGACTCTTGCCTCTGCACGGCGACACTTCACTGCCCCCCTGGAAGCACCCACTAGCACGTACCATGCTCCATTCGCCGCTCTGCTGCTCCTACGCCACGCCTTTTATTTGAGGCGTGCTGCTCCGGGCTGTTTCTCCTACGCCACCCATTAGACGCTCTGCCGCTCCTGCGCCTCGCCTTCCCTCCAGGCGTGCTGCTCCAGTCCAGGTCGACTCTCGTGCAACGGCAGCCCCGTCCATCCATTTCCCGTGTCTCGCAGGCCGTGACGCACACACACACGTATGGGGAGAAAGGCAACGACAAAGAAACGTGCAACAAGGGATGGTTAGAAATAGCAACAGGAGAGTGGTGGAGGCATGTACAAGAAGACACGACTCTTGCCTCTGCGCGGCGACGCTCTAGGACTCGCTACACTGCCCCCCCCGCAAGCCCACTGGCACGTACCATGCTCCGTTCGCCGCTCTGCCACTCCTACGCCACGCCTTCACTTGAGGCGTGCTGCTCCAGGCCTTCACTCCTCGTGCGCGCCAGCAATGGAAGCCCACTTCAGGCGTACGATGCTCCGTTCGCCGTGAGGCGCTTGCACACGCACGGGGAGACGCACACGCACAGAAGCAGGGCAAGACGACAAGGAGGGTTAAGAGCAGCAGGAGGCGAGAGGTGGAGCGTAGGGCAAGAGACACGACTCTTGCCTCTGCGCGGCGACGCTCTAGGACTCACTACGCTGCCCCCCGAAAGCACCCACTGGCACGTACCGCGCTCCGTCCGCCGCACCACGATACTGCGCTGGCCGTCAGAAAGTGACGTGAGGATGAAGCGTCGTCGCGTGGTCGCGTCTCTCCTTCCATTCGACGGCCACGTGGTCGCCTATTGTCTGCGACTATGAGAGCGACGCCTGAAGCGGAGAGCGACGACGGAAACGGAGAGCGACGGCGACAGCCGGTAGCGTGTCCATTTCGGCGACCAGTAGCGGGCTGTCACGTCGATGTACGGTCAGCGCACGAGGTGATTGCTGGGTCGACTTGAATCGCACCTACGTCTCTGGCACAAGCGACGATGCGACGAGAACGGCGACTGAGAACTTCAGGATCATTGGCGTCTGTCGCGACGTCCCGACGACTAAGCTATCCTGACATGCTCCGAAGGTCTGTCTTCAAGTACGTCCGTCTACGGCTCATGCACAAAACAAAACCACAGACAAGAGGAGAACAAGACTCGGTTAGTAGCAGCAGGAGAGGAGCAAGAGAGCAAGGCAGCAAGCAACTGACTGACAACTCTGCGCTGGCGGCGCTCTACGACCGGCTCTCTTCCCCCCTCAGCTTCCCCCATGGCACTCACCAGGTCAAGCCCGGTCCGCTCTCCTCGCGTGCGCGATATCATGCCGCGAGGCGAGTTGACTTTTGAGTCGACTCAAAGGTCTCCTCGTGTGCGCGACAGCGTGCTGCGAGGCGGAGCAGCCACCACCGCGCCACGAGACTCTGCTGACTGTAGAAAAACCACGTGGTCATGCAGCGTCGTCGCCTGGTTGCGGCTATGAGAGCGACGCCTGAAGCGGAGAGTGACGCCGGAAACGGAGACCGACGGCGGTACTATGTCCTTTTGGCGACACCAGCGGAACGTGTGTGATTGTCGGGTCGACTTTATTAGCATCCTCGTGTGTGCACAAAATAAGTCGAGAGAGCCGGGTGAGCCACGCTTCTATAAACGACGAAACAACCGCTGGATCTAAGAAATCGACCGCCTCTGACGATACGACGATAACGGGGTCTAATAAGCTCAGTATTGACGTCTGACGCGACATCTGCACTACAACTTATCCTGACATCCTCCAAAGGTCTGTCCTGAAGTAAGTCCGCGTGTTAGTGGTACCATGCAGCTTAGTATCCGCCTCCGCCGTTGACATCCGTCTAACCATCACCTCAACCTCTGTGTTAGGACCTACGGTTATCCCCGTTTCACACAACCGATAGCTGTGTCAGGAAACTAAAGCGGTTACTAAGTCGAGACCGACCCTCATCAACTGGAAGAATGGCTTAGGAAGTCCTGGAAGAGGAGCAAGAGAGAGAAGAGAGACTCTCAAGGTTGTGCCATCCCATCTCAGCCTGGTTTCTCCTTTCCCCTTCCCGTCGCCGCTGTTCGCATCGCGAGGATGAGCCCGCATGCAAAATAGTGACCCCCCCCTTCTAGTTGGGTCCACTAGAAAGCTCATGAAAATTTCCAGAAAGTTTGGTGTTTTTTTTCCGAACAGGGCAAGTCCCCAAGTAGTAACAAGACCGATTTGAAGTTGTTTCCGACTTCTGATACGATCAGTCGCAACATGCACAAAATTGTCGCAAGCTTGCTATGTCAATTCCACTTCTCCCACCCATCCAAATCCGCATCGAGCACAACACATCACAAATTTCACAACGGAACCTGCCACAACACACGCAGCATACACACAATGTTGAGCTAACGAACAACACAGAGTGATGCAAGTAGCAAACAGAAGAACGACAAGGTGACTCGAGAGGAGAGAGAGGGGCCGACGGGAATTAGAACGGTAAGGGAGGGGGTATAGCGAGGGCGATTTACCGTACAATGGGGGAGATTGCGGGCGACGGAAAATGGAGTAGATGGCGTAGGCGACTGCAAATGGGGGATCGCTATGAGATCGCGTGGGAGACAGCGAGCGCGACGGGGAGAGGGGGGAGAAACAGCGAGCGCGACGGGGTGAAGGGGGGAGATAGCGACGGCGCGGAACGTGATGGGAGATAGCGACGGCGCGAGACGTGTTTGCTAGCTTAACTTATGTCGCGAGACGTGATCGGAGGGGAGGCCATGAGCGCGAAGGCGATGCGAAGACAGGTGCACGTGAGCGCGATGGTGACGGGAGGGAGGAACGTGAGCGCGATGCCGATGGGAGGAGAAAGGCGACGGGAGGGAGAGCGCTAAGGCGATGGGAGGGAGAGCGGACTGGCGACGGGAGAGAGAGCGCGAAGGCGAAGGGAGGGGGGGCGGACAGGCAACGGGAGGGAGAGCGCGAAGGAGACGGGAGGGAGGGCGCTGACGGGAGGGAGAGCGCGAAGGCGACGGGAGGGAGAGCACGAAGGCGAGGGGAGGTGGAGCGGACAGGCGACGGGAGAGAGAGCGCGAAGGCGAAGGGAGGGAGAGCGCGAAGGAGACGGGAGGGAGGGCGCAAAGCCGACGGGAGGGAGAGCGCGAAGGCGACGGGAGAGAGAGCACGAAGGCGAGGGGAGGGGGAGCGGACAGGCGACGGGAGAGAGAGCGCGAAGGCGAAGGGAGGGAGGGCGGACAGGCAACGGGAGGGAGAGCGCGAAGGAGACGGGAGGGAGGGCGCGAAGCCGACGGGAGGGAGAGCGCGAAGGCGACGGGAGAGAGAGCACGAAGGCGAGGGGAGGAGGAGCGGACAGGCGACGGGAGAGAGAGCGCGAAGGCGAAGGGAGGGAGGGCGGACAGGCAACGGGAGGGAGAGCGCGAAGGCGAGGGCGGGGGGAGCGGACAGGCGACGGGAGAGAGAGCGGACAGGCGACGGGAGGGAGAGCGCGAAGGCGACGGGAGGGAGAGCGGACAGGCGACGGGAGGGGGAAGGGATATCGCGAGGGCGACGGAAGGAAAAGGGGGACATCGAAGGCAACGTGAGGGAAGGGAGATAGTGAGGGCGACGGGAAGGAAGAGGGGACATCGAAGGCGGGGGGCGGGAGAACGGGAAGGCGACGGGATCGGAGGGAAATCGCGAGGGCGAGGGGACAAGAGGGGTGAACGGGAGAATAACGGACCGGGAGGGGAGACCGTGACGACGACGGGAGGGCCGTCATGCGTGTGTTTGTGAGGGCGATGGAAAGGCGACGGGACGGACTAGAGAGCGAGGCGACGGCGGACCCCACTAGCAATGGCGAGTGCGACGAGCAGCGAGGGGAGATAAACGAGGCGACAGACAGCGAAGGGAGATAATGAGGGCTATGGCTTAGGGGGGAGGATCGCTTGTGCGACGTGGTGGGGCCTACTGTGATGAGCAAATTGATGATTGCGCGAGACGGGAATCAGGCACTGCGCTACCAGGACACGTAAACTTACATTTCACACTCTTGCTAAGTCGACGATTGACGCACTCGTCGGTAATTACGTGGCTATGACACGAACGCGTGTGCTTTCAGCTATACTACTTACTATGCTATGCGGAAACTAGTGATGAATGGAGTGACAGAAATCTAGTAATGCACCCACCACCAGCTTGAAAATGAGGTTGGGCCTGCGATGGGAAACCATCGCCTGGGGTTTGTCGTGCGGATGCGGCACGCAAAAATGCGACGGCTGAAATGAGAAAGGAAGTTCATTTTGGCGGGAACCATTACGTTCCATTGTGGCGAGAGCCAATAACATGAGTTCACTCTGCCCTGCCAAATCGTTTGAAACAGTGTTTTTGAGACTGGTTTCATCCTCACTTGCAACTCCTCATTCAAGTTGGGACGGGGGTCACTATTTTGCATGCGGGCTTTAAATTGGCACGGCAAGCGGCGGAGATGGTGTGTGGCTCGGTTGGGGTGGGAAGAACCCTGAGCTTCGGCTGGTTACGGCAAGCTCGAGGGAAGCACAGCCTGGGGGCTGGTGTGGGGAGATCCGGCAAGGCACGTGAAAAGTTTCAGGCGAACACGCCGCAGGGATTGGCCGGGCGGGGCGGTGTCAGACAGATGAAGTTTGAACCATTTTGGAGGGAAAACCGGAGGCGAGGCTCGTTGCGGATATCGGGGGAATGGTGGGTTCGGAATCGCTATAACGGCGCTGATTTGAACGCTATAGTGAAAACTGCGTCTTCTGAATGACCTGTAATATTATGTAAACAACTGCAACATCCTTGTCTTCCTTCCTACTTGATGTAGCTAATGGTTGTGCGCCTGCTTACCAAGCACGCCTTGGCATCTGGTGCCAGCTGGTGGGTCAAGTGTTGCCCATGGAGTGTGCACAGGCAGCTGCTAATGCAGGCATGTCATGGCAAAACTTGACCAGAATACTGTTGTGCTACTGGTTGGCTGGTTAGCTGGCAGGCTGGACGGCTCGTTGGTGTTTTGCCATGGCTGACAGGACAAAGATTCTCTGTCAAAGAAGCTGCATGGCTGGGCGTGAGCATTAAGCGATGCTGTAGCTGACAGTTTGGGCACTGGCACCTCTCACACTCTTGCTGTAGGTGCTAGCGTGGCATGGCACGGCTGTTGTGCCTGATGTGATGTGTCTGGTGTTGTCGCACCGATAACATTACGGTTTGGGGTGTTTGTGTCGTGCTGTTGTCATTGGTGGAGACACCAATACTCTGCCAATGCCTGCACTTCCTGGTGCGAGAGCCAACCCCACTCGTGGTGGCCTCTTCTGTAAGTGCACATTTCAGTGCGTGGGGACATAAGCAATGCTTACTGCAAAACTTGTTATGTGCCATTGCACATTCAGGTGGTTCCGTTCATAGAAAGGCAGACAGCCCGGGTGGCAAAAAGAGAAGAAAAGGAAGACGGGAGACGAGTAAGACATGGGAGCCTGGAGAAGATTGCAGGCGATAATAACCAACCAACCAACACATACAGCGAGCTCAGGGGCTGCAGCCCAGGGACTCGTTTCGTTGAAAAATTGTTTTGTCGGCAACATGTATTAACCTGGGAAAAGAAACCAGGGATGGTATGCTGTTACTTTGCATCATCGCGTGGGATGCAACTATCAGAGCCAGCAGGCAAAAGAGCAATGTTTGACGTGTGGCATGTCTCATGCATGGACCAGCGGTCATGCAAAGCAAAGGCAATGCACACACTACGCGCACGCATCATGGAACCCAACGGCAACGCTACCAGCCCCAACCCAACACACCTGACCCTCAGCGCACCCAGGCTGGTATTAACGGCGCACCCTAGGCACCGCAGGGCGTCGATTCATCTCACATCGACACCACACCTCACATCGCCACCGCATGGTGCCAACTCGCCTCACATCGCCACCGCATCGACTCGCCTCACATCAGCACCGCATCGTGTCGACTCACCCGGTGCAGCAGGGGTGGAGCGCGAGGCTCCCCGGTGCAGCAGGCTCCCCATTGGCTGCTGTTGCTGCTCCTGTTGCCGCCCATGATCCGCTCCTACATGCAGCGTCCTGCCTTCCCCCTCAGACTCCCCACCTTCCCGCCACAGCACTAGCTGCCTGCGAGCCGCACAGCATGTCCCGGCTCTCGTGTTGCCACCCATGAGTCTCCACAAGCTCTGATTGGATGGGCCGGATGTGAGTGAGTCAGTTGGCAGCATCTGAGAGAGTGAGTCGGCAGAAACAGCGATGGGGGTGAGGGGGGTGATGGATGGGGGTGATGGGGGTGATGGGGGTGATGGATGGGGGTGATGGATGGGGGTGATGGGGGTGATGGGGGTGATGGGGGTGATGGATGGGGTTGCTGGGGGTGATGGGGGTGATGGGGGTGATGGGGGTGATGGGGGTGATGGGGGTGATGGGGGTGATGGGGGTGATGGGGGTGATGGGGGTGATGGGGGTGATGGGGATGATGGGGGTGATAGGGGTGATGGGGGTGATAGATCACACAATACCAACACCGCTTACACCAGCACACTCGCATCTTTTGAAGAGAGCCTCTTTCTCGTCAAGAAACGCCGTGCGCTGCTCCTGGGTCCACCCCGGGAACAGGTCCCGGCCAATGTCAGGGTTGTGCCTGCCGCTGATCCGCGTGCGAAAGAACGTTTCGTCGATGGGTCGCCCGCCGTGGAAGCCGACGTCGAAGAGCATGCGCTGGAAGGCGAGCAAGTGCAGAGCATGCGCTGGAAGGCGAGCAAGTGCAGAGCATGCGCTGGAAGGCGAGCAAGTGCAGAGCATGCGCTGGAAGGTGAGCAAGTGCAGAGCATGCGCTGGAAGGCGAGCAAGTGCAGAGCATGCGCTGGAAGGCGAGCAAGTGCAGAGCATGCGCTGGAAGGCGAGCAAGTGCAGAGCATGCGCTGGAAGGCAAGCAAGTGCAGAGCATGCGCTGGAAGGCGAGCAAGTGCAGAGGGTCGGAATCCGAGAGCGTGCCGTCCATGTCGAATAGAACGGCGCGCAGCTGCCTCACCGGGGGAAGCGCCCGCAGCTGCCTCACCGGGGGAAGCGCCCGCAGCGACAATGGCTCTGTGTAAGGGGCACGGGGGAAAGTGGGGGATGCAAAGGGGGGGAGAGGTGGTAATGATGGTTTGCGAGGTGGGACGGATGTCTGTGGAACAGTTGCGGTTGCGCAATTCTATTCGACATGGGAGATCCACGCGACGCTGAGCTGCTGAGCTGTGGGAGGTGCGATGCGAGATGCGATGCGAGCCTACAGTTCACGGTGCTTGTGTTCTGAGCCAGCGGCATGACGGCTGCGGTCGCCACGTACGCGGCCTCCGACGCCTCCGCCATCGCCGCATCTGCCGCCTGCGACGCTGCGAACGGCATCGGCGACCCCACGAGAGATCCAACGGTGATTCCGCCTGCAGGCCGCCATGGGTAGCAGAACGACCGCGCGGCGCGACGCTTCAACGGCTAAGTCCTGCTTTTCTTCCCGTTTCTCTGTTTTGGCTCGCTTCGCTGCGGCGAACTGTCAGGCTCTTGAGAGCTCGCTGGCCTGGCTGACGCACGAGCGCGAGGCAGGCAGGCGGCCTTTAGTGGAGATTCGCACTCGTGGTCCGCCAAGCTGACTGCTGAGTGCTGTCTGAGCGGTGGCAATGTGCTGTGCACCGGGCTCAAGTGAGACGGTGCGCATTCCTTAGGCATGATGCTGCGCACCCATGTATATTACGCATGCTTCCATCCTTAGGCTTCACTCCAAAGTCACATTACCGTTGGAAGCCCTGACCCTCTATCAAGAACCCGCCTGTCAATGTCTTTTGTAGTTAGTAACGGCACTATCCTTGGCCCTAGTACGTGCTTATTCCAGCCGTAGATCCTGTGTCAGCGGAGGCTGCCGTGCCTGACGCTGGCAAACTGAGGCCTCGATGCGGCACGTTTGCAATTCCGTGAGGACATCCAAGGCTTAACCTGCCATTTGCTCTGCTGGTGCTGACAGGAGAAGCTTGGAAACTGAGGGAGTGAATAAGAGGTATCGCAGTTGAGCAGAACTGAATTCGTGGAACAACAATACGGCAGCTGCCCCTGACAGCTCGAAGTGCTTCAGTTGGACCAGTCGGCTAAACAGCTGCTTCAGTGCTTCATGTAAAATTGCGGTGTGTGTCAAACTTGCTTCGAGGTGCATCCGTGAAATCAATTAATACCGCGTACGATTTCGGTGTGTCAGAACTGATTGTCAGGCCCAAGTGTTCGAAACACACACCAGTTTTGGCGCTGAAGTGAATGCAGGTGTAAGGAAAACTCCTTTTCCTTACTTCGCGTCCCTGCTTACCGCGTACATGCCTGTTCCCGCCATCGGCACCCACTCGTGAACGTTACCCGCTCGCGACACTCGCCTCGACTACGACTCCCGCCACCGTTCACGATGCGACCCAACCTCACGGTTCGGTTGGTAACCCGCACTCCGGACCTCCGCCTCGACATTTCCGCAACCTCGGCGCTAGGCCCGTCGCGCACCCCATTTTTACGCACGACCGTTACCACTGTAGTTTCGCTATATATTCTTCGCTCATGCCTTCGCTCATTGTACTCTTGCTTCGATAGTGCAATCTTCGTTCGTTCACTCAATTGCACTCGTAACACTTGGTATTCAGAGCCTACGATCTCTTCTCGGACCGCACCCACACCTTCGCTTCCCCACTATCTCAATTTTTTGGGGGGGGGGGGTAGACGTCTCTCAGCGACACAAGCACCGCCGCTTGTATTGCTCTCTCGTAAGCACGCACGACCACGACAGAGGCTCTCGCTGAGCTTGCCCGACACCCCCGCCATGGCCGAAATCACCCTCGCGACACTGACGCAGGAGCAACTCGACCGTCTCGTGCGCCAAGTCGAAGATTCGGCGCTTGAAATTGCGACTCTCACGGCGGAACGCGACTCCGCTCTTCAGCAATCCACGGCGAATGCTCCAGTGTCAAGAATGAAAGTGTTGGTTCGTTGATGTGGGTTGGGGTACATATAACAAACCCTAACATCTGTACCCCCTAAGACAAACCTCACTACAGGCTACAACATTTGACACACCCCCATAGCCTAAGTGAGGGGTGTCAAGCAAAACCAAAAGTGTACGGTCACAAGACCAGTCACAAAGAAACAAAGCTCAGGGTGGATCACAACGTCACCACACACTCTGAGCACAAGCAACAGAAGCCACAAGGCCAGTTCGAGAGTTCACAAGTGTGTATAGCAAGAGTACAAGCAAAGCAAACAGTAGACTCAAGCCTATACACGGCTAGAAACTGTGTCAACAAGGCCTAACTGCACACAACACCTCTGGTGGTCACAAGGCGGAAGCGCCTTGGTGAAGATGTCTGCAGTGTTGGCCTCGGACTCCACAAACTCGAAGCGAGCCTGTCCACGTCTCTGCAACTCTCGCAGAAGAAAGTACCTGACGTTAATGTGCTTCACTCTGCTCTCCAGTCGCGGCTCTCGACAAAGGACCTGCTTTTGGTGAGCGGCCGAGCTCTGCACCGACCTTGTTGTCAGTGAACAAGGTCGGTGCAGAGCTCGGCCGCTCACCAAGGTCGGCGAGCAAGAAGGTCAACCAACGCAGCTCCTGTGCCGCCATGGCACCAGCGTAGATCTCAGCCTTAGCTGTAGAGGTCGAGACCGAAGAGGAGCGCGTGGACCGCCACGAAACAGCTCCAGAACCCAAGCTGAAACAGTACCCCTGAGTAGACCTATGAGTCTCAGCGTCGTCAGCGTAAGAAGAGTCACAGTGACCAGTAAGTACGACAGGCTGCTGCCCTCCAAGAACTAGCATGTGTGACTGTGAGAGTGTAATGGTGCGAGCAGCTCTGTCCCTGGTGATCTGCAGGCCAAGGTAGTGGCGCAGCTCACCAAGGTCAGTGCACGTGTGTCTCTTCTGCAGTTCGGACTTCACGTCTGCCAAGGCAACCCTGTCAGCAGTGGCGAAAACCAGGTCGTCGACGTAGACCAGAACAAAGAACGGTGTGGAGCCACGACGAACGAACAGCGACGGGTCGGCAGAAGACGGCTGGAACCCAAGGTCAGAGAGGGTAGAACGAAGAGTGTCGTGCCACTCACGAGGAGCCTGACGAAGACCGTAGACAGGTCGCCTCAGCCTCCATTGGGTCCCAGGAGGGAAAGTGTCAGTGAAGGCAGAGGGACGACGCAGCCAGACCTCCTCGTGTAAGCTACCCTGAAGGAAAGCAGTGGAGAAGTCGAGAGAGTGTAACTCGTAGTCTCTCTGTGCTGCTACGTGCAGTAACACCCGAAGAGTGGTCATCTTCGGGGTAGGCGCGAAGGTCTGAAAGAAGTCAACTCCCTCGCGCTGACTGAAACCTCTAGCCACGTAGCGCGCCTTGAAGACCGGAGGAGATCCCGGTGGCCGCTTCACCCTGTAGATCCACATGCCATCGACTACGTTCGCCCCAGGGGGGGGAACCTCGTCGACGTAGGTGCCTGTGGATCTGTAGGAGGCCAACTCTGGACCAGTGGCGTAGTCAAGGCGGCGAGTAGAGGCAAACTCAGTGACTGCGGCAGTAAGGGCGGAGACAGAGGAGACAGAGGCACGAGGGTCGGTAACAAGAGAGGCGAGAACACGAGAGAGAACAGGACGGTACGTGCGGTAGTAGTCAGTGACAGGAGTAGAGAGAGAAGCAGTGAAGGCCGACCTCCTCCTGTCTCTGGTCTTCGGGCCCTCGGTCTCCCCTCTCGCTCTCCTTCCTCCTCCCCCTCTCCTCCCGTCTCGGGTCCTCCGCTTCCTCCTCCTGACCCCTCCCCGGCTGTTTTCCCTCGTTCTCAGCCTCAGTTGTCCCCTCCTCCTTCTCAGACTTGGGCCTCTCGTCGCTCCCCTCGTGCTCGTCCCTCGTCTCCTGTTCTCGTTACTGACCTTCGTACTGCCCTCTTTCGTTCTAGTCCACCTCGTTCGTCTCCGTCTCTCCTTCCGTCTCCTCCTGGAGGCGGCGGCTGCTGCTGCTGCTACTGCGGCGGCGGCTGCTGCTCCTCGTGCTGCTGCAGCGGCTCCAGCTGCTACGCCTCCTGCTGCTGCGGCGGCTCCAGCTGCGGCTGCTGCAGCTGCTCCTGCTGCTGCTGCTCCTCCTCCAGCCGCTGCAACTCTCTCTCCTCTCTCTCCAACTCCAGCTGCTCCTCACGGGCACGGCGAACACGAGCCTGGTGCCGGGTCGGGTAGGGGTGGGGGGGAGGAGTATTGTCGGGGGCTGCGGCAGCCCCGGGACCGCCCTCCAAAGCACCTGGCGCACCACCCCCAGAGTCAGCACCACCAACAGCAACACGACCAGGCTCACCAGGACCCGAAGAGGGTGCACCCGCACCCCCAGAGTCAGCAGGACCAACACCAGCTCCCGGAAGACAAGAGTCTCCTGCAGCAACGGGCTCAGCTCCAACTCCAGCACCCCCAGAGCTAGCACCTGTAGGGCCCTCTCCACGAGCACCGGCTCCCGTAGGGTCTGCAGCAGGCTGCGAGGAGGATTGCGGGGAAGGAGGCTGCACCTGAGGGGCTACCGAGGGGGGAGGGGTAGCCTGGGACACACCTGACGGGGCAGGACCAGGGGGGGGAGGCTGTACCGGGGGAGCAGGAGGGGGAGCGGAAGTCAGGAAGAGAGGGGGAGGAGGAACCGGGAGACCTCGACTGGGGTACCTGACGTAGTAGGGGGTGGACTCCTCGAAACGGACGTCACGGGAGTCAAAGTACCGGTGAGAGGGAGGGTGGTAAAAGGTGAAGTCAGAGGAGTCCTCAGGGAAACCAAGGAAGACACAGGGAACGGCGCGAGGCGAGAGCTTGTCCGCGGAAGAGTCGCGGACAAGCGCCAAGCAACCCCAGACACGAAACCTCGACGCAACACCAGGGGACCCGGTCCAAAGACTGGTCGGTGAAGCCTCTGGCCGAGAGACGCGTGGCCAGAGGTTCAGCTGGTGAGCGGCGTACCTAACCGCGTAGGGCCACAGAAAATGGGGGGCACGGGCGTGAGTCAAGGAGGTGCGGGCGATCTCCATGACCAAGCCTATGCGGCGCTCAGCAACCCCATTCTGCTGTGGGGACTCTGGAAGCGTCCTGGACTCGTGAATGCCCTGCTCGCGACAGAATCCAGCGAGAATGCCGGAGCGAAACTCACCCCCACGGTCAGAGTGAAGACAGCTGACACGAAGACCACGAGTGTCCTCTGTGGTAAGCAACCACCTGATCAGCGTAGAAGTCACCTCAGACTTCTTCGCCAGGGGGAACACTGTGGTGTAGCGGGAGTAGTCGTCAACGACCACCAGAAAGAAACGCTCGCGCTCAGAGCCAAGGCGAGGGGCGGGGCCCCAGACGTCCAAGTGGAGCGTCTCAAAAGGCTCGGTGGCCGGACGAAGGGAGGAGGAGTGAGGGGTGGCACGCAGCCGACCCTCGACGCA